TTAAAATATTTTTAAAGTATTATTTCATTTTTGACTAGCAGCTAGCATAATGGCTATGTCACTGGACTCCCATGTAGCTGACTGCACACAGTTCGAGTCCCAGACCCGGTGGTTTAAACTCATGCCGGGCACGTGTGCGTGCGTGCCCAAGATCCCGAGAGGAGAATGAAGGAGAAGGGATTGCGGTGTGGCCATCCCCCCTGGGGGGTGATTTCTTGCTTTCTGTCTTTCTGTCTCTGTCTTTCTGGCAAGCGCATGCACCCTATTAGCAAAAACCTCTGGGGAAAAAAAAAATGGAGCAGGCTTCAGTGCCCCACACCTAAATCCTGATCCCATCTCTGTATTAATTAGCTTTGTGTCCTTGAGCAAGTGACTTAGCCTCTCTGGACCACAGTTTTATTAGGATTTATCTGGCAGATAATAAATTCTCACTCATAGATCTGTCACTAGGATTATAACATATAAAAGATACAAAAGCACCGTGTGCCTTGCACATGGAAGGTCCTAAGTGATTTTCTTCCCCTGTCCTGATTATTGCTGAAATTCAGCCTTCTTCTTGTTCTGAATTTAAGACCACAGTCAGGTTGGCCCCATGGCCCAGTGGTTAAGGGAGCTGGATCCCACATGGCTGACTATGCAGTTTGAATCCTGACCCTGGTGGCTCAAAAAACATGCTGTGTGTGTGTGTGTGTGTGTGTGTGTGTGTGTGCATGTGTCCAGAATCCCAATAGAATGGGGACATGGAGGAGAAGGGATTGCATAGTGACCATGCCCCATCAGAGAAGGAGAGGTGCCTTCTCCTTCTCTCTCTATCTGTCTCTGTCTCTCTCTGGGTGAATACACATGCCCTTTGGCAATTATAAATAAATACGGACAGACAGACAGACAGACAGACCACAGTCATCTGAGAGTAGCCCAGGTAACACCAGGGGATGATACCTCCCCGATCACGAGGGTCATTCCAACCTTCCTTTGACAGAAGACAGGTTAGAAGAGAAAAGCATAACACGTTTATTTCATCTAGGTTTTGTGGGACATAGGAGGTGTTAGAAATGAAAACCCAAGGACACAGGAAAAACTATCCATTCTTGTGCTTAGATTTGATGAAGGATGGACAGCCGTTGGACAAAGCGGTACAAGGTAATGTTACTAGACTAAGTTGGGAAAGCCTGCAGGGCCTGTCTGTTCTCTCTGTGCAATAGTCCTTCCTCAAAGAGGTGGGCCGGGACCCCCTGGAGCGAGAGTACTGCAGCCTCACTCATCAGATGAGGAGAGGTGTGAGAACTTCTTTCTGTTCAACTCTTGGACCAAAAGGGAGGAGAAGCGTACAGTAATAATTCTAGTTTTTATGACTGGTTTGGGGAAAAGGATTCTAGTTTCTATGACCTGTCTTGGGGAAGAACAATATTGATTTCTAAAGTTTATTTATTTAATATTTTTATCCATGATGGTATATATGTGCATGTTCACAAGAGAATGAAAGAGAGAGTGAGACAGAATGAGCCACCCTCAGCAGGGTCTTGTTCCTTCGTGAGCCCCTTTCCACACCTCTCTAGTGCGTCAGGATCTTGGGCACCTGTGCAGGTGCCCAGGAATTCAAACCACGGTTGGCCTGTGGCTTCCAGCACTGCAGTTCAATTTGCCACTAGGCTGGACCAGGAATTCTGCTTTCTATGCCTTGCTTTTGAGGAGGAAGAAAGGCAAGAAGCAGGGGGAGAGGTCAGAGATCCTTGGTTCTGAGGCCCTCCAAGGCCCTCCAAGTGCTCAGCATGCCAAAGCACCGTTCTTGGGGATATCATTTTTCTGAGCTTCAACAATATAGGTAGGGTTGTCTAGGCAGAGATGATGCTCAGAGAATCTCTGTTTTCCTTCCCAAACTTCCAGCTCCTCTTGATGCCCTGGACCCACCTAACCCTGAATAACTGAAAGGCTAGTTCTCTAAGTAAATGGAACCCTGATTGCCACCATCTGTGTCCTTGCAGTTGCAGTCCCAGTGACTGCACCCTGGTGACCGCACCAGGCAAGGTACATTTCCATCTTCATCAGCCACAAGCCACGTGGCCGGTTTCCCATTGGGCCCCCAGTTCTCATGCTGGGCCCTGATAGGTGGGGACATACTCGCTACTCTGTCTGTTTCCATGAAAAATTGTTGCCTCGGGTACCACTCCTGGTCTCACCTCAGCCCTCGGTCTTCCACCCAGGGACAAGGGGTGAGTTAACCTGCACAGCGGATTTTGGAGAAGGAGCGGAATACCCACTGGGAGCCCCTCCTGGAGCCTGTCGTGCAGCCTGCTCCTCCCATCATGTGTGAGCTTAGCAGAGGTATTCTGGCTCTTTGAGGGTGTGGAAGTGGGTCAGATGTGATGTTCTTTAAGTTTATTTATTTCTTTTCTTAGAAGAGAGAGTGTGAGATCGGGGGAAGGGAGAGGGCATTCCTCGAGCCAGCCAGAACTCCTGACAGACTCTAACCCCGAGCCTTCCCCCAGGCTCCCAGCATCGCAACAGTGCCCCGGCCACCTGGGCCCTTAGTGTCATTTCCCAAGAAGTGAAGAAGATTCAGAATGAAGGTGTATCAACGGTGGGCTTAACTCTGAGAGGGAGTGTTAAAGCTGGCTCTAAGAGCATTTGCTGGGCAGAGGTCTATATCGTTAGAAGGGAGAGAAAGGCTGAGACAAACGTACGAAATGAAATGCAAAACCAGTTAGTATCTCACAGTGCTATCCAGCGACGGCCTTTGCCACGATGGTTTCTGCCAAGCAGAAGTCATTTCCACCTCTACCAGACAGAAATCCACAAGTCAATGTGCAACATCAGTGAGCGTTAACGAGTCTGGGCGCTCGGGTAAAGCCAGTAGCAAGTCCAGGGAAGTCTCACTTCTCCTAGGGAAGGCAATGGGGTCACTGGGCCTGTCAGGCCACTGGGTGTACAGCACCGAGAGGACCAACAGCGATCTTCCTGCGTCATTAACAAGTTTTGATAAGTTAAAAAAAAATTGGGGCACGTGTGCTCACTGGGGAGCGAGACATAGACAGTGAGAGAGAAAGTGAGAAGTCCCTCACCGGGAGGAGGGCCACACCAGTCCTTTCTCCTCCATGCTCTTCCTGGGTCCTAGGCACATACGCACTCACGCCTGGCTTGACTTTCAAGCCACCGGGTCTAGGACTCGAACCGTGGTCTGCCATGTGGGAGTCTAACAACATAATCATTATGTCATCTGCTGACCCCAATTTGGGTTAATTTTTAACCACGGATAAATTCAATACCGAGGGAGAGGAGATTAGCAAGCTCATCTAAATGTCTTGTTGAAACAGTCCATCCTGGTCATTCCTGGGTTGACCTCCTTTTATCCTGATTTTTTTCCCACGTGAGTCGAGAAAAGAGGAGTGCTATTTACTGAGCCTCCTAAATCCCGATGGTGGGCGTCCTCCTTTCTTGGCAGAGCCGGCCTATGCCTTGGGAGCTGCTCAGGACAATGCTCTCGTCTCTCCAGGTCCCCAGATTCTGTGCTCCCACCTCCCGCCTGCCTATGAGGCCCATCAATTCAACTCTCAGACTATGAAAGCACAGGAGGAAACAGACGTATTCATTTTCTACCATAAATTTGCAGAGACACCAGTTTAATAAACAAAATAAATATCTCTTCTCAGCATTTTCTCCCATTATGAATATGTATGAGCTCTTAGAACTTTGGGGAGAGGCAGGCTCCTGGGACAATCTCTGAATTTAGAACCCCTTAGGCGGTGAGTGGGGAGCAGAGGGTTTGCATGCCTGTCTCCCCCCACACCCCCACTGAGGCTCTGAGGAGGATGGGGAGGAGGTGAGATTAGCGGAATAGTGGCACTCTCATAATCTGTTGGTAAACACTTAGCTCCAGTCACAGAGATAGGAGCAGAACTACACGAATGACCAGGACGTGTGGTCTCAGGCCTTCACAAGTTCATGGTCTCCCCGGAGAAAAACTATAAACAGACCAACTGCGAACCTAATGTGAAAAACACAACAATGCACACATGTGTGTGGTAGAAGAGTTTGTTCATAAGACTGATTGGAGTAGGACAAAAACACAAACAGTGCAGGCAGACGCGCCTAGTACCCACCTTCAGCTCCACCGCCTGGCCGAACGCTGTAGACAACTTACTTATAAAGTGGGGCCAATGCCGTCCATACTATTTTGGTGCATATTGGAAATAACCTATTTACAGCCCTAAATATAGTAACTGACACCTAGCTGACACGCAATAAATTATAGCTATTAATGAGAGGCATTGATCTTTTTTTCTTAAGCTCCAATAAATAGCTCACTGTAGACTTGCCCTTTGTAATGTATAAGGCACTTTCCAATCCATTAACTCAACACTGGGAAGGAGGTATTTTTGGCCCTGATTCACTGGTGAGGAACCTGGGACTTACAGCGGCCAGGAGCCCCTGCCAAGGCCGCACCGCCAGTGTGAAGATGCTGAGAAAGGATGTCTTTGGGTAGGACAGAGTGTGATAAACCGGTGTCACTCACAGGGCAGCCGCTGCTCTGCCTGCTCTGAGTGCTGTGACAGGGACCAGCTGGAGGGAGGGAATCAGCGTGGCCTTTGCTATTGTGACATCGTCTTCGGTGGTGCAGGTCACAGGGCCCACTTGGGGTCATGCTGTGGGTGGATGAAAGCCAACGGAGCACCTGTCTTTTCTTACTGTCTCAGAAAGGAGCTGTCGGCAAGGCCAAGGTTAGGTAAATGCACAAACTCCATCATGTCCCCTCGTCCCCTCGTCCCCTCGTCCCCTTGTCCCCTCCCTTGCTGATTTCCTCTCCCATCCAGCCTCCTGAGTGATGAGTAGTAAATTCCTAAGGAGGAAAACCACATGCTTTGGGGGCCCTAAGGAAAGAGGAACTGGGGAGACAGAGCCCTACTGCACAAGAGAACCCCAAGGGATGTGTGGGTGGTGGCAGCCTTTTAGGGAAGGAGCAGGCAGGCTCACTCTCTGGCATGTTCCAGAGGCTGCAGAAGGTGGTGAAAATGGGTCCTGGGACTTCGTGGTAGAACAGCCCCCTGATGCCCCCAAGAGGAGACAGGCTGGGCAGCTGGGCCTTCGCACTCTGGACCCTTGTCACTACCTGCACATTCCCATCCAGATGGACCTGCCCGATCTGGGCATGACGCATGGGCCCAGAGGTGGGTCTCTGGGAGTTGTTGTTTTTGTTTGTTTGTGTGTGTTTTTTAGAGAGATGTTTGCTATAGGGCATGTGTGCTCACCAGAGGGACAGAAAGTGAGCAATCACTCCCCAGGGGGGATGGCCACACCACAATCCCTTCTCTATTCTTCTCTCTGGATCTTAGATACGCACGCACACGCACTCAGTGTGTTTTAAGCCACCTGGTCTGGGACTTGAACTGTAGTCGACTATGTGGAAGTCCAGTGACATAACCATTATGCCATCTGCTGGTCCCTTTTTTTTTTTTTTCAGCGAGAGAGATTTTTGCTATAGGGTATGTGTACTTGCCAGGAAGAGAGAGAGACAGGAAGCAAGAAGTCATCCCCAAGGGGACATGACCATGCCATAATACCTTCTCCTCCATTCTCCTCTTGGGATTTTGGGCACGTACGCACACTTGCTCAGCGTGAGATTCAAGTCACCAGGTCCAGGATTCAAACTGCAGTTGATTATGTGGGGTCCAGCTACACAACCGTTACGCCATCTGCTGGTCCCAATGAGCTTTTAGAGAAGTTCTGAGAAGGACAGAATGGTTGGACATTGGCTGGATCTGCTTCTGGGACAAGAGAAGAGGAAAGCTGGACAAGGGAGGCTGAGGTTGCCCAGGTGGAATAGTCAGGCTTGCTGGGCCCCTCACGTAGCCCTCAGGAAGAGCAGCAGTGTGGGCAGGCCCGCATCGTGGTCCCAGCATGGCTACTAACTACTCTCTGCTCCTCCTTTACCCAGCTCCCCCAGCCTCGGGGTCTTCACCTGTAAAATGGGGACCAGTAATTCCAACCGCAACCCTTTCATCATTTACTGAGAAAAAACCAACTGAGGCAATATTGTAAGTGTGAAAGGGCTCCCCAAATGGAAGGGCAGGAGGGGAATGTTGTGTATGGTTTGTCGTAACTAATTTTGTTATCACCGACCCATTGACCCCTGACTTGGACTCTCTGATCCTGGTGTTCTGGATTTATTTCCCTGTGTCGGCTGTGTGCTACTAGAGAAGGCTGAGGTGCTAAAATCATACGTCTCCATTTTTCCCCCTGTTCCTATTCCACCTCCACAGCCACCGCCCTAGCCCCAGCCACTCCGAAGACAGCAGTGCTGAGCGGCAGCTTGATCGATGGCTCGGTGCCTGATCCTGGTAATACCCACTTTTTTATTGAGCGTGCAGTCACTGCCTTCTAGTCTGTTTGGGGGACTGGGTGGGATGGGACAGGATGAGCAGTCAGTTTCTATGCTATCCAGTGTGAGAACAGAAGGGCACACACTTTATTACAGCAACACGGATGTAGGTAGCCTTTACTTACTTATTTACTTACTTTAGTTTTGCTATAGGGTGTGTGCTTGCCAAAAAGAGGCAGAGAGAGAGAGAGAGAGATTCCCTCTCTGGGGGTTTGGCCATGCCTCAATCCCTTCTCCAGTCTCCTCTTGCTATTTTGGGCATGCACGCATGTCAACTTGGCGTGATTTTCAAGCTGCCAGGTCTAGGACTAGAACCACGTAGTTGGTCATGTGGGATCCAGCTGCCTTAACCTCCATGCCACCTGCTGATCCAACTTATTCATTTTTTAAAATCAGTTTATCAGGACTGGCCCCATAGTACAGTGATTAGATGCTGTGCAGAGGAAGCTAGGTCCCATATGGTCCACCAGAGTTCAAGTCCTGGCCCTATCAGCATAAAAAAAGACACACACGTCCAGGATTCCAATGGGAGGGAATTGGAGAAGAAAGGACTGTGGCATGACTAGACCCAGCTGGGAGTGCTTTCTCTCTCGCTCACTCTCTTCCTCTTTCTGTGTGTGTGTGTGTGTGTGTGTGTGTGTGTGTGTGTGCACAAACCCCAGCATAAAAATGTTTATTTATTTATGTATTCTGAGAAAGACGTAGGGAGACACTAAGAGAGAGATGAGCATTGCCTACAGGGTCTTCGTGCCACCATCTGCTCCCAGTGTCAGCCACCAGGATCAAAGGTGCCCAGGTGTGTGTCTGTGTGTGTGTGTGTCTGTGTGTACAGAGAGACGCATGAACCCAGGTCCTTTCCATGCAGCCTTAGCATCGCTGAGCGCTGCAGTACCTCTGCAGCCCCGCAGCTGCAGGAGGCTAGGTTGTACCTAGACTACATGAGCTGGAAGCCCTGAGGAATGAAAAGGGAAGGGTGGTGAAGTTTTGTTTTGTTTTTAAAGAACTATTTATTTAATTTACTAGTATAATTATTATTTTTAAGATTTGCCATAGGGCATGTGCACTCATTAGAGAGAAACAGAGAGAGAGAGAGAAGGAAATAAGAGAAAATAAGCCACCAGGTCTGGGACTCAAACTATCGTCAGTCATGTTTGAGTCCAGGGCCTTAACCACCACAGTACCTGCAGGATTCCAGGGACTGTGAAGTTTTCTCAGTTTTAGTTTTTTTAAAAAACAAACAAACATGATTCTTTATTTATTTATACATTTGACTAGAAAGAGACAGAGGAAGAGAGAGGAAAAGTGAAAAAGAAAGCTGTCAGGTCCAGGACTCAAACCACAATCAGCCACGTGGGAGCCCAGCACCTTAACCACTACACCACCTGCCAGCCTGGACTGAAGCTTTGAGGTTTCTTTTTGGTCTTTCTGGTAACATATTTTGGAGTACATTACAGATGTTACCATTTTTCATCCCCAGATACTTGTAAGTGTCTGAAAAATTAGGCCATTTTTGATGAAGGTGTGTATGTGTGTCCATGGTATATATGTTCTTGGTGTGTGCTGTTAGTGTGGTGTGTCTGTGGTGTGTGTATGGTGTATGTACATGGTGTGAGTGTGTGTTGTATAAGTCTGTGATGTGTGTGTGGTGTATATATCTGTGGTATGTGATATGTGTGTATTGTGTGTGCAGTGTGTGCTATATATGTCTGTGGCATGTGTGTGTGTGGTGTGTGCGTGGTATGTGTGCTGTATGTATTGCATGTGCAGTGTGTGGTATATATGTCTGTGGCATGTGGTGTGTGCGTGGTATGTGTGCTTTGTGTATTGTGTGTGCAGTGTGTGGTATATAAGTCTGTGGCATGTGGTGTGTGCGTGGTATGTGTGCTGTATGTATTGCATGTGCAGTGTGTGGTATATATGTCTGTGGCATGTGGTGTGTGCGTGGTATGTGTGCTTTGTGTATTGTGTGTGCAGTGTGTGGTATATATGTCTGTGGCATGTGGTGTGTGTGTGGTATGTGTGCTGTGTGTATTGTGTGTGCAGTGTGTGGTGTATATGTCTGTGGCATGTGGTGTGTGTGTGGTATGTGTGCTGTGTGTATTGTGTGTGCAGTGTGTGGTATATATGTCTGTGGCATGTGGTATGTGTGTGGTGTGTGCGTGGTATGTGTGCTATGCGTATTGTGTGTGGTATATATCTGTGGCATGTGGTTTGTGTGTGTGTGGTGTGTGCGTGTATGTCTGTGGCATGTGTGTGTGGTGTGCATGCCTATGTACTGGGGTGCACACATGCTCTTGGGGAGGACCTGGAGGAGGGAGAGGCCAGGCTGTCCTCTTGTCTCTGCCAGCTCAGCGCGGGTCCCCTCGGGGAGGGAAGAACCGGAGCTGGAGAAGGAGGGTGGGGACGATGACTGAGGCCAAGCGCCCTTCTCCTGTCCCACCGCTGCCTCTCGGTGGCACTTAGTATCCATGCCTGGGGCTCCATCGTCTCTTAGTATCCATGCCTGGGGCTCCATTGTCTCTCCCTGAGAGGCCTGGACGAAGTTGAGACTGAGCTGAAACCCAAACTGCAGATCAATGCCGTCTGAATTAAATATTGATCCTCCCCCTATGCTGTCAGGGAAGCTCCTTGGGAGTAATTGGCTTGCTGGTTTTGTTTTCTGCTTCTTTATTTTTCATCAGGATCCTTACACACTCCATTGCTGAAAGGCAGGTCCTGCCCTACAACGATGAGCTGGGTCCTCCCTACGCCCGGCCCCCCTCCTCCCTGCTCTCCTCCCTCCCCAACTCTGTAACGTTCCTCTGCAGAGACGCAATGTCGGCGAGTGGGAGAAGAGGCTCACAAAGACGCCGTGTGTGCCTTCGGCCCACGGCCATGGTCGGGCAAAGGGCAGCCGCCCTGGCCTACAGGCCCCTGGCTGGGACACAGAGACCCGGAAGGGAGGGAAGACACCATCCCAGGCCGAGTAAGAGACGCCAGCCAAGCCTGTCCGGGAGCTTGACTTCTTGGACCCACCTGGGCCACTCTCTTCACAGACTTCTTCAGGCAGGCTTGGTCTCCCCTCCTAGAACCATGGCTCCGTCTTCATTTTTCTGAGCCTGTCAAGATGGGAGGAAGGGATTTAGAAGGTTTCAAGCCTCTGAAGGATCACGGGGCTTTCCCCAACTGCTCCCCTATCTGTGTAACACAGAATTGAACAGGAGAGGAATTAAGAGCCAGGAACACAGCAAGTTCTGGGTTTTTCCACAGTGAGGGCTGGAGGACCGAGCTGTAGGTCACTTGACTGTAGGTGCCTGTTTGCTGGAGCTTCTGTAAGTGTTTAGAGTGCAGGGTGAGGCGGGAGGGCAGGCTGGATTGGCCTTCCCCTTGGCCTGGCGGCCAGCTGTCTGGAAGTTTCTCCTGCCCCCTTTAGAACCCACCAGCCCCAGGCTAGCTGCAAGAGCACTCCCCCCACAGCCCTGGGTGCTGGCAGCACCTGGCCTCCTGCTTTCTCAGTCAGCCACCCGCTGGCAGCAGCAGAAGGAAAACAGCCAGGCCTCTATTCCCGGAGGACCAGGCTGGAGGGGAGGCTGTTCCGGGATGAGCTTGTTAGCGGAGAAATTAAATTACTGCCCGCCCCCCGCCCCCAGGCTGAGGAGTTGTGTTTCCAGAAGGCCTCCACCTGGGCGCCTCGACGTCCTGCAGGAGGTCTGTGGGTCTCCAGGTGAGGTGTAGAGGATGGACAGTTGTGGGCTGGCCTGAGACCTCAGGGTCATCCCCAGGAAAAGAACCAGAGCTCCGACCTCCAGTGCATCCTTCCATGCTGCCTCATTGGCCTTGGCCGGAAATCCCTCGGTCTGACTCCACAATGGCCCAAAGCTGGGTGTGAGCACAGAAGTGCATTCACTCATCAATCACTACTGAGGCCCCCTTGTGCCAAGGCTTGGGACTATGGAGATAAAAACACAGCCTGTGGTCGGTCTTCTGTCAGAGGACACTGCTCTTGCCAGAGAAAGTCAGAGAAAGAGAGAGAAAGAGGGAGAGGAAGGGAAGGAGAGAAAGCACCTCCCCGTCAGGCTGTGGTCACACCACAATCCCTTCCCCTCCATTTCTCCCTCCTGGCAGGGTTTTGAGCATGCATGCACAGGCACCCGGAGTGTTTTTCAAGCTGCCAGGTCTAGGATTCAAACTACATGGTTGCCCATGTGGGCCCTGGCTCCTCCAGCCACCACGTTGTACAGCCTGTGATCCTAAAGACCCTCTGCAGGGAGACAGACACACAGCAGTCACAGCGCAGAGTGGAAAGTGCCACAGGAGGTATTGTCCACCAAAGTCTGTAGGCGAGACTCCTAGACCCGCGTGCGGTGGGTGGGGGTGCACAGGGTCAGGGCTGATTCTTAGCCGATCCTTGATCCTTACGAATGGGTTAGCTGAGCTGGGAGAGGCTGGGGGAAGGAAAGTGGGATCCAAGAAATGGAAGTAACATGAGACAGAGGGAGGGAGATTTTTAGGGGGTGCTGCGTTGTGGGGTGCCTGGTGCTGTGAGCGATGATGGGGTGCAGGTAGGCCTGTGGTCAGAGCATAGAAGCAGGCTGTGCGTCTGGGTTCTGCGATTACCGGGGGTCTATGCAACGAGACGGGGGTTTGGGAGGTGGTGAGTAAGTGGGATGAGTATGTGAAGCAGGCAGCACCCCCAGCTGGCAGTCTGCACAGCCCAGATAATGAGGTGCAGCGCCTCGCGGAAGTTATTTAGGAACTCTTGTCCTCGGTTTTCTCATCTGTAAAATGAGGTTTTTAAAAGTCTCAATTGCGAGCACATCAAGGGACTGTCTTACTGACTTAGACGCCCAGCTCCTTCCAGCTCCAGAGGACCTGCGCGCTTGAAAGGGGCAGTAGCTATTTGTTTGCCTCTTGATTTGGGGTACATATACTCACCTTCCCAAAATAGATCTGCCTCCCAGTTCTGCACGCTTCCTACTAAATTC